CGAGGGCGCCGCCGGGGGGTGCGGCCGCCGCGGTGGCGACCCGTGGGGCCACGCGACGAGCGTCGTCGGCCCAGGCGGCGTCGTCGAGTTCGGCCATCCCGTCCGCGACAGCATCACCCGCCGCACCGCGCGCCGCCGCAGCGGCGACAGCCGCCGCGGTGGCCTCCACGTCAAGGACCTCCTCCTCCACGTGCATGACGCTCTCCTTCCTGGCGGCAGCCCGCCGCGCAGCGCGGCGCTGGCGGCGACCCCGACGCTTCGCAGCGCGAGCGTCGGCGGCCGTCACACCTCCGCCAACAGGAGGACCATCACCTTGCTCACGAGGTACGTCTTCAGCAGGGCCGCGGGCGGCGGGCGGCGCAGGCGGCGCAGGCGGCGCAGGCGGCGCAGGCGGCGCGGAGCACCCAAAGTGCGCCGCCGACACCGCTGAGCGCGCCACCGCCGCGACCGTCCGCCTAAGCACATGCGCGGCAACCGCCCCGCGCACCGCAGCCTCCACGAGGGCCGCGACCAGCGCGGGGGCGGTAGCCCCTTTAGCCCGTCGCGCGGCGGCCTCCATCCCCTGGACGGCGGGCCGCGCACCAGGCATGCGAACACTTGAGCCAAAATGAGGAGAGATGGAGGAGTTAGAGGAGAGGAGGAGAGTGATGAGAGGAGGAGGAGGAGGGAGGAGAGGAGGAGAGGAGGAGTGAGAGATAGGAGGTAGGAGGAGGAGGAGAAGGTGAGGAGAGGAGGAGGAGCAGGAGGACAGGAGGAGGGGTGGCCTCACTACGAGGTCGACGACGAGTGAGGGAGGTGGCTGGAGGGGGATGAGCGCGAGGGGAGGAGAATCAGGAGGCGGCGGGAGGGGGCGCAGGAGCGGGAGGAGCAGCAGAGGCGGGCGCCGAGCAGCAGCAGCGACCAGGAGCAGCAAGAGATATCGGCAACACCAGAACATGAGCAGGAGCAGGGGCGGCAGGCACAGCTGCAGCAGCAGCAGCAACTGGAGCAGAGGCATGGGCAGGAGCCCGTTCCTCCTCCTCCTCCTCCTCCTCTTCCTCCTCCTCTTCCTCCTCCTCCTCCTCATCCTCCTCATCCACATCACCATCTGCATCATCATCATCATCATCATCATCATCATCATCATCATCATCATCAGCAGCAGCAGCAGCAGCATCATCATCATCATCATCATCATCATCATCATCCTCATCCTCATCATCATCATCATCATTATCATCAGCATCATCATCATCAGCATCATCATCATCATCAGCATCATCCTCATCCTCATCCTCATCCTCATCCTCATCATTTCCATCACCATCACCATCACCATCACCATCATCATCAACATCATCAGCATCATCAGCATCAGCATCAACATCATCATCAGCAGCGGCATCATTATCATCAGCATCATCATCACCACCATCATCTTCATCATCAGCAGCAGCAACAACAGCATCATCATCACCGTCATCAGCATCAGCTGCATCATCAGCATCATCATCAGCAGCAGCATCGTCATCAGCATCATCATCAGCATCATCATCAGCATCAGCATCATCAGCATCATAAGCATCATCATCATCAGCAGCATCAGCATCAGCATCAGCCTTAGCAGCATCATCAGCATCATCGGCATCATCAGCATCATTATCATCAGCATCAGCATCAGCATCCTCCTCCTCCTCCTCCTTCTCCTCGTCCTCCTCCTCCTCCTCCTCCTCCTCTTTCCTCCTCCTCCTCCTCCTCCTCCTCCTTCTCCTCCTCGCTCCTCCTCCACCTCCTCCTGCTCCTGCTCCTGCTGCTCCTCCTCCTCCTCCTCCTCCTGCTCCTGCTCCTCACCCTCCTCCCCCTCCCCCCTCCTCCCCCTCCTCCTCCTCACTCCTCTCCTCCCTCCTCCTCCGCCTCCTCCTCCTCCTCCTCCTCACTCCTCCTCCTCCTCTTCCTCCTCCTCCCCTCCTCCTCCTCCTCCTCCTCCTCCTCCTCCTCCTCCTCCTCCTCCTCCTCCTCCCCCCCGCCTCCTCCCCCATCCTCCTCCTCCTCCTCCTCCGCCTCCTCCTACCTCCTCCTCCTCCTCCTCCTCTCCTCCTCCTCCTCCTCCTCCTCGTCTCGTCCGCCTCCTCCTCCTCCTCCTCCTCCTCCTCCTCCTCCTCCTCCTCCTCCTTCTCCTCGCAGGAGAGGAAGGGGAGTGGGAGGAGGGTGACGGGGATGGGGGAGAGGCCAGGGGTGGGATGGGGGGAAGGAGAGGGCCAGGGAGAAGGGGGAGGGAGACGGGAGGGAGGAAATGGAGGAAACGGGGAAGACGGGGGCGACGGGGGAGACGCGGGAGACGGAGGAGACAGAGGGAGAGGAAGCGGGCTGAGGAGGCAAGGGGGAGGAGGGCAATGGAAGAGGAAGAGGGTGGAGGAGAAACGGGAAGACGACGACGACGGCGAAGACGGCGACGACGAAGCCGACGACGACGGGAAAGGCCACGGGCCGCCGCTTTCGGGCGAGTGGTAAGGGGGGTTGGCCCCAATGGGAGGTGGAAGGAAGGGCCCCAAAATGGACACCTTGGAGCCCCTCTCGGAGCCAGCGTGGGCCCAAAAGGGGCTCTGAAGGGCTCCTTTGGGGCCCCTTTCTTCTCCCGCCATTTGAGCCACCCCCCATTACCATTAGGTCGTGCATGTCCGTCTACAAGCGGATTCGAAATAGTCAAAAAATACAAAAGTAGTCGAGCAGAGTAGAAGCATCGTCCCACAACGATGTGTTTTACTACTTTTGAACACTCACCCTGTAGAAGAACATGCCCGACTCAAGATTACCACCCGCCCGACGTACGTGGGGAACTCAGAAAGTGCCGATACGTCGGAAATCACCGAGGGCCTTTGTGGTCCCCGGAAACGGCAAGGCCGTTTTTTCACCGTTTCCCAAAAGAAGTCCCTTGAAAATGGAAACGGCAAAAAAACGACGACCGGAAACGGCAAAAAACAGCTCCAGGATTGGAAACGGAGCCGGAACCAGTCAAACAACGGCGACCGAACCGGTAAAACAACAGCGTCGGAACCGGTAAAAAAACGGCATGCCGTTCTCAGGGCCCACTAATAGGGGGCCACATGCGAACCCTACCCCTACCCCCAACGATTTCTGAGGGGGACGGTGGGGTTCTCCCGAGCGAAGTGAACCCCACCCTCCCCCTCAGAAATCGTGGGGGGTAGGGGTAGGGTTCGCATGTGGAGCCCTAACTAAGGTGCAGCGAGGGGCCCCTCGTCGCCAGAGGCCGAGCACCGCCACCGCAGCGAGGCGTCGGCGCCGGCGGCCGAGGGCGCGCGGCGCTCCGCGGGCGGCGGTCGACTCCAACGCCCAGGGGTGGCCCAGAGACGGCCCGGGGCTTAGCTGCCCCGCCCTCCCACAAGGAGGAGGAGCAGGAGGAGAGGAAAACGAAGGAGGAGGAGGATGAGGAAAAGGAGGAGGAGGAGGAGGAGGAGGAGGAGGAGGAGGAGGAAAACGAAGGAGGAGGAGGAGTTTTTTTGCCCCGCAGGGTAAAACTCAAACTGACTTATCCATGGAGGAAGCTGGCGGCCTCCTCCTCAGCCTCAAGGTCAAGCTCTGGAGCAAACGGCTCCTGGGCCTGTCCCTGAATCCCAGGGCGGGGCTCCTGAGCAGACCGCTGCTGCTCTGGGGCCCTCAAAAACATGATCCTGAAAACCTGCCGCCTCCTCTCGTGCTGCTATCCGCTGCCTCAACCTCTCCAGTCCTGGGATTAAACTGCTGCCTGGAAGATCATCGAGTGGGCGCTGAAACCACGCAGCACGCTGGGGGCGCTGTTGGGTATCCAGAAGCCTCCGTCGCTCCACCTCACTTAAAATATGGAGCACAACACCTGGGGCAGCACGATTGGACTGGGGGTGCAGACCACGGAGCATACGATTGAGGCGGCACTTACTCGAAGAGGATACAACATATCCACGACACGGTTTTTTTTCCAACTGGCGGCTGAGACGCTCTGTGATGCATGCGCCACACCGCCGGCAAAATACAAGATTGGGACCAGACGAGAGCCGTGTATAGACCAGGTCGCGTCCGAGCGTCGGGCGAGCGAGGAATGAGAAATTCTGTCTCCTTCCAGAGCACCCCGACATATCAAAAGAAGCCGCATTCGTACCTGTACGGCGCGCATGACAATCATGAAATGAACGACCCAGGTGCGCCAGGCACAGCCGTCCAGGCATGCCAGCGGCGCGCACCCGTACTTCCTGGCCGAGGAACCTTCTTACGCTCAGGGAACTGGGATGACGGGAAGAGGGGCAGAACCGAGCCCATCACCCGAGCCACAGCACGAACCTTGCCAATCATGCCGTTCAAGTCATCCCAGGAGGCTTGAGGTTCCCGGGCGTGCATCGCAAGAGCTTCCTTTGCGGATCGACCCGCTAAAAAGTTAGCTCTCGCGATCCTCCGCTCATCATGCGGACGGTTATCAATTACCTCCATACTGCGGTGGGCAGGGGTGTGGGTGCAGGGGCCGATGTTTTTCGATCCCTCTATCCCCCCAAAACCCCGACGAAGCCCCGCGTACTTATTTCTGGAGGAGACTTGCTGGGCAGCTGGCATTTTATGGCACCTCACAGGACCCAAACAATCGGACCACACGTTTATCTGATGCGCCAGCTGTCCAGTGTACAAACGTATAGCAACGATACCCATGCGCTCAGCAGCCTGAGGAGTCTGAGGGAGACTAGGCCAGACCGGCCCTCGAAAGCGTGCAACTACCTCCTCAGTGCCAGCCTGCAGGCACACTCCAGCAAAGGATGCTCGAGCAAGATCGCGAATCGGAGGCCTCGTGCACGACCCGCCGACGACGACATCGCTCGCGCCTTCCAGAATCGCAAAATCCTGCACAACATTCCCCTGCGGATCTACAAACTCTGGATATATCATATCTGCGGAGGGTTGGAAGGTGAGGGAGGGGCGGGGGAAAGCGAGGCGGGTCCAGAAGGGGTGGAGCGGGCCTGCCTGCAAAGCTTCCTGGGCGA